AGGAGGACAAGCCCGACCTAGGTCTCATCCCGTTCAATCCGGTTTCATTCCGCTCAATCCGGCTCAATCCCGCTCATTCCGCGGGCCATTCTTTCTTGTTCACCACCCACCAAACCACCCCAATCCAACCCGAAGGCCTCAATTTGACCTCCATTTCCAGAGGGGTGGGTGGGTGGGGGGGGGGGAACATCGCAAAAACGTACATGGAACCCGTACCCCGCCCAACCCGAAATTCGGGTCTTCAGGTTGGGTTGGGGTGGTCTGGTAGGTAGTCAAATCCTTCCGACGAAGACCTCCCATGGCAGCGCACTCCGTGACGCCACCGCCCCTCGCCGTGATAAGCTGGGCAGTGCTGGATACCCTGCGGCAGTGCCGGGGACGCACTGGCGGGGAGGAGCGTCGCGTGGTGGGGGCAAGGGGGAGTGGGGGGGAGGGAGGGGCATCTCTATCGAAGAAGAAAAAACGCCATAACCATAAACTTTTGGCGTTCCGTGCGAATTTCTTGGATCCGCGCTGGGCACCCCCGGCGCCGCCTCTGGCGGGCTCCGCGCGCCAGGGAGGGGGTTCCGGCGCGGATCCAAGAAATCCGCGCGGACCTCGGTCGAATGAGTCTCATCTAATCTAATCCAATGTACCCACTGGTCGGAAGAAGTAGGCAGAAACATGAAGCAGGAAGGCGCTGCAAGTCGATGGGGTGTCCGCCTGCCCCCTGAAGAGGACGGAAAAGGAGAAGCCACTCGACCGTTGAAGTAGGAAGGCGCTCAGAGTAGATTGGGAACCTGGGAATCCAGAAATACATACTTTCAACGACCGATCCTAACCCCCCCGACGTCATGATTTTTTCATTGCGTCGACCTCGAGAGGCCTCGACCCAGTCCTCGGAACTGGTTTCTCATCCTGAGCCGTTCTTTCGACGGCCCGGCGAGGGCACCCAGATGCTGCAAATGGCGACAAACGTCCCGTCATGATGTTTTGTTCAGTACTCGAGGGGGCCTGGGATCTGATCCTTCTCTAATCCCGCGTCCCCCCCTCCTTCCCGGCGGAGGAGGAGGAGGAGGAGGAGGAGGAGGAGGAGGAGGCGGAGGAGGAGGAGGGACGAGCAGGAGGAGGAGGAGGAGGAGGAGGAGGAGGAGGAGGAGGAGGAGGAGGAGGACGGAGGAGGGGAGGAGGAGGAGGAGGAGGAGGAGGAGGAGGAGGAGGAGGAGGAGGAGAGAGGAGGAGGAGGCTCCCCTGCCTGCTCCTGCTCCCCCCCCCCCTTCCCGGCGGCCAGTGCGCCCGCTCCGCCCGCGGAGCCCGCGGCCTCCGCGGCGCCGCCCGGGGCGGAGGCCCCTGCCTCCGCCGCTTCCTTCGCTCTCGGAGAGGACGGGAGGCAGGCTTTGAGTCTCTAGGCCTCCTAGATGGGGTCGGAGTAGATGGGGTCGGAGGATCGCGCCGCATCGTCGATGTGCAGCCCGATTTGCTCCACGTCGACGTCGCCGATGCCTCGCCCACGTCGACGATGCATCGCCGGTGCATCGCTGATGCATCGCCGATGCATCGCCGATGCATCGCCGATGTATCGCCGATGCGGCGGGATCCTCCGACCCCATCTACTCCGACCCCATCTAGGAGGCCTCTAGAGTCGGGCCTGGGCCAAAGAATGGTCCAGGGACGTTTCTGTTTGCCCCCAGTTGTCGTCCGAAATTCGCCTGTAGGGGACACGCCCGACCTCGGGCAAGCTCACTGCCCGCTGGCAGGCGATCGCAAGCATGGAGACATCGCAAGCATGGATCCAGGGGGCGTGGATCAGCGACGGGCCCCGTTTCCATGGGACATCGTGGATCTCCGCCGCCGAACGAGGCGGTACCGGCCGCTTTTTTGGGGGGGATTGGGGGAGGGCACTTCCCCCCATCCATGGATTTGGCGACCCGCGCGCCGAATCCATGGGTCGCTGATCCATGTCTGCGCGCCCCCGAAGAAAGCGGGGTCGTCCGCGCTGGCATCGGCTCGTAAGCCGCCCGCGTCAGGTCGCGCGTCGGCGGCCCTCGTCTCCAATGTAGCGTGCCGCGCTGGCGGCCCGCGTAAGCCGCCGCGTATGTTCGCGACGTCATCTCGCGTAAGACCCGTTTTTGATCGTCGCTCATTTGCGTTGGCGAGCGAACAACCCAGACCCATACCCAGAAAAGGAAAGGTAGCCATACCGCTACCCTTCCCTCGTTTGTCCCCTTTCTTGGCCTTCTAGAAGGCCCTCGTCGCCACCGCTGGATTCTCCTCAAAATCCTGGTCAGACCGCACCCCGGGAGAGTTCGGGGGAGTAGCGGTATCGGTATTTGTTTATTTCTCCAGTGGGGAGGTCGGAGGGAGGAGGCCTGGCTATGGGTATGGGTGCGGGTTGCCGGACCCCCATCCGACAACACGCACCCGTGGCCCCCTCCGACCCCCGTATGGCTATGGGGTGTGTGTTGTTCGTTCGCTACGCACGGCATTCCCCCAAGCAAGAGAGCTGGCACCAATTGCTTACGCAGAAGACTGGGCATACCCTCGAAGATGGTTTCGCGCACTCGCCGTACTGAGCGCTTTGTGCGCTGCGCGCCCATCCCGTTCGACGGGACTGCTCTGCTGAAGTGGCGTCCCTCCGTCCGTCCGCCTCCTCCTCCTCCTCCTCCTCCTCGTCCTCCTCCCCCCCCATCTGCCGCCTTCTCAAGCAACGCTGGGCCAACAGGGCGTGGCAAGTGAGTCCCAGCTTGCGTGAAGTCCAGATTCCCTTCGGGGCCTCGCCGCGCACTCCCCTTCCCGATCTGTCTGGCTGACTCTCTTTGGGGTGCCTGTGCTCAGGTGAGGCTGCAGCACCGCTCAGCGATGTGATGCTTAGCCGAACCTGCAGGGCCGGCCCTTTTCTTGATCCGTGCTTCGGTGCGGGTCGGCAGCGCGCCTCGTCGTCTTCGTCGTCGTTGTCGGCGTCGTCGTGGTCGTGGTGCGTGTTGCTCTGCTCGGGACTCGCATTCCTTATGCAGTGGCCATCCCCCCCCCTCCCTCTCCATGCGAGTAAACTCGCCAGCATCTAAAGAACAACTGCTTCAGTCAGAGAAGCGAGGAGGTCCACGACGCCTCCCCGAGCTTGATACAGCGGACGTCTCGAGCGGGGAGGGGGAAGCCACTCCACCATGGGACACCGCTCCGTGGATGCTCGTCTTGGGGGCCTGTCTCCGGGCCCACCTGACGGATCTGCTGGGCTTCTGGTCTTCGACGAAGCAAAAACATTTTCGGAGTTCCGCGCGGATTTCTTGGAGGTGTGCTGCCCTCGTCCTCCTTTTTGCGCATCCGGCGACGCTCGATCCCAGAAATCCGTTCGGCATTCCGATTGTTGATTTTTGTGCCCACATACCGAGCATCTAATTTTTTGTTCTCTCTCTCTCTCTCTCTCTGGTCCACTCTCTGGCGCGTCTGGTGCCCCTTGCAGGCTCGAGAGCGATTCTTGTCGCCCCCAACCCCCGTGTTCCCTCCGCCCCCTCAAAAAACAGCCATCCCTGCAGGAGCCGGGACACTCGGGGTATGCATTTCCAGGGGGCCAATTCGGACGCACCACAGTCGAGGTTGGACGCCCCACGTCGTAATTCCCCGAGCTGGGCCCGAAGTCGGGGGTTGAGGACGCTATACCTTGAACTACAAATATGCACCGACACTCCAGGATCGTTGTCTGTGCATATTTGTAGTGCACCGATCCTGGAGTGTGCACCGATCCTGGACTCAGGATGGGCCTTGTCAGAGTCGGTGTACAGTCGGACCGAGATATAATATCGAGGTCGCTTCGGGGGGGTGCACTAATGTGCTTCGTGTGTGTTAGATGTTCTTGTGCATCCTGGAGGGTGCCTTAGGATGTTCTGCGTGTTTTGGCCGACGGAGGGGCCCAGATTCTTGAAGGATGTGTTTCTGGCCTAGGTCCGACTACATGGTTGGCGACCTCCTGTGTTACGTCTTACCCCAGTCATGACTTATTGTGCACGGCGTGTTCTATACTTTTGGGAGTCTGCGCACGATTCCCAGGAGCGTCTCGGTATCAACAGCAGCGGTATTCGAGTCGTACGGCAGAGGAAAGCGAGTAGTGGACACTTCCCTGCTCCCCAAATTCCAGTGTTGGCACGCGCGGGGAAGACTGCGGTCGAAGTGCAGCTCGTTCAACCCACCGCCAACATTGATCATTGGGGGGGGCATTGACAGATGAATGCGGCATGAGTGCTCGTCACCAGTTTGAAACATATCCGTATCCCTGTGTTTGGCATCACCTCACCTCGATGCCGATCTTAAGGATTCCCCCGGCTTCTGCGAGCACAACTGATCCGCTTCGCGTCGGTCCCCGGACCCCTCCCTGGATCCACCCCGACTTGTTTTTTTCTGGGCCTCCCAGATTGCAGGGCTGGACCTAAACGGTGTTTTTGGCGATTTCGTGGGCCGTTTTCGTTTCGACTTCGTTTTGCGGTGCGGATTCGAGACGAAAGCGAGTGGAAACGAAAACAAAACGAAAACGAAAAACACCATTTAGGTTCAGCCCTGCCAGATTGGGCCCGTTTCGATTCATCCGATTCGATTCGATTCGTCTTCCGTGGCTTCCGATTCCGATTCGATTCGATGTGGGATTCCGATGTGGGATTCCGATGTGGGCTCCGATTTCTCATTGGAGGCATATTGGTCTCCCGATTTCCGCCGATTCGACTTTTCCCGACTCGGCTGCCGATTTCCGCCGATCCGATCATTTTCGATCGCCGATCCGATTTGCGATTGCAGACCGTTTTGCTTCACGCCGACGTCGCCGATGCATCGCCGACGTCGACGCTACATCGCCGGTACATCGGCGATGTATCGCCGATGTGTGGGGGGGAATGGGAGATTGTCCCCCCCTCAATCCTGCCCCGTCCTTCCCTCCTATACTGTCCGTCCCCCTTCCGACGTTTTTCACCCGGTGCTTTTCAGTTCTTGTCCCCACCCTTACCTGGAGGGTGCGGGACTTTTTGCCTCCCCTTGAGGATACGACCTTCGAGATCAACCTCACGAAGGTCCTCAGTGGACGGGCGGCGGTGAGGAGGTGTAGGGAAGAGGGAAGGAGCAGGGAAGAGAAACGAGGGAGGAGGATACGGGGGAGACAGGAGGAGGATTGCTACTTGCGTCCCGCCCTCGAAGGATGGGGGCGCGACGCCTGGTCTGAACTTGACGCGAAGCTTCGTCGATAACGCAGAGCTCCTCATAACCGCCGTGAAGGAGGGGGGTCTGGTGAGCGAATGGAATTCTAAACGGCCGAGCATGTCTGTCAATATCGGCGACTACATCATCAAGTGCAACGGCAAGAGGACCTACAAGGAAATCATGAACGAGCTCCGCTGCGCGAATGAGATTAGCATGACCATCATGACCTCGCAGGCTTGACCGATGGGAAGTGCCATCTATTGCCAAAGTTGTTGTCCGTAGTCTTCTCTTCTTGTTCGATCTCTATCAGCGTCAAATCGCATTATTCCTCCGTCCTCTTCTCTCCTCGTCTGTTGATTCGTTGCTTTGCTGCCTGGGCTGCAAGTGCTCGATCCAGTTGCCAGCAGCTCTTTCCCCCATTTGGGAGGGGAGATGTGGTCTGCCAATCGAGAAGGCCTGGGGGGGGGGGGGAAGTTTGGGCCCTCAGAAGGTTCTGGGCCCCCTATCTGAAGCATCCTCGGGAGTCCCTGAGCCCCTTTCATTTATATGAAGCCCCCTGCCCTCCAAGACAGTCGCCTTGTTCGCCCCACCCCCTGCGCATGCCGCCGACGATACCCACGCCGTTCTCGGCCTCTGCGCGCGCCGTTCTTCCTGTGCCCGCTCTGCTCGTGCGTGTCCGTCCGGTGGCGGCCCACTGGGGCGTCGAAGCACGGGGCGCCCAGCTCCGCCATGCCTCGTTGCGCCGACCCTGCAGACGTGCTGGAGCGGATCCTTGCATGGAGTTCTGTTCATACAAAACTCCTGGGAGGTCGAGTTCTCATTTTGCCCGGGTCCGAAGTCTGGCCCAATCCGGCCCATTCCCGTTTGGTCCCGCTGAATCCGGCTTAATCCGGCTCAGTCCCGCTTGATCCGTGGCCTAATCTGGCGTAGTAGCCCCCCAACGGGGCTTAATCTTCCTCTCATTCTGTCCAAGAAAGACCTCCCAGTAGTTGCCTCCGAAATTTCTGTCAGTGCAGAACCCGGGAACGGCGAGCGAATAACGGTGTGGATTGCACGTGGAGTCGCCGTTTCTGTTGCCGCTTCCGTTTTCTTCGAGAGGCAGTTTTCGGAACCGATGCAAACAGCGGCCCCGCCGCTTCTGGGGGCTCACGAAGGTCAGGACGTCTCAGGCGAATCGGCTGCCAGGCCGCTGCTGGACGGGGTGGTCCCGGGCTCCCCGTCCCCTTCGCGGGGTTCTTCAGTGATCCTGCTTCGTCAGCCAGGTTTGGCGCCCCTCACAGGGCCAAGGTTTCGCTCGCTGGCCCGCCTGTTGCTGGTTCGCCCTTGCGCGACGCCAGTCTTAGCTGCTGCATGTTGCTGGCGTGCAGTTTGTTTCGACACATCTTGGTTGCGGTTTCGGGGGGCGGGCGGGAGGGAAACAGTGGGATGGGGGAGGAGGCTGAGGAGGAGGAAGAAGGATAGTGTGGACCAGGAGGGGATGTTCAGGAGGTGAGAGGAGGGAGTGGAGGGAGGCAGAGGGATGGTAAGGGAGGCGGGAAGCGAGGGGGTAGGGAGTAGGTAGAAGGGGCCGAGGAGAAGGATCATGAGCATGAAAAAGAGCAATGAACATGATGATGACGATGACGATGTTGATGGTGGGGTTGATGGTGATAATGATGACGAGGAGAAGGGTGTAGCCGTGACAGGCGAGGAGCATTGCCGCCCTTCATCATTATGGACGTGTGATATCCTTTATATGTTTCGTTTTTTTCGTAAGTATTGTTTTCTGCCGCATCCTTCTTCCTGAGATGGTCCTTCCATCCTTCTCCTTCGCATCCGTATCCTCGGTCTTCCAAGCATTATCCCGATCATGATTCACATTATCTCCGTCCTTCTCCTGATCCTTACCGCCCACTCTTTCGTTGGCACTGCCGCCTCTTGCTTGGGTTGCTCCCTCAGATGCCATGCTCCCCTTCTCCGCAGCAGCAGCAGGCGAAGGGCGCCTCGCCGCAGAACCTCGCGGACCTGCACCTCATGGAGCCTGGCCCCGACCAGCAAACCTCCGTGGACAGCACTCTCCCTGGCGAGGCGGAAGCAGCACCTCAGTGCCAGGCGGCATCTCTTGGAAAACTGGCAGCATGGGGCGTGGTGGGGAGAGAGCCTCCTCCTCCTCCTCCTCCTCCTCCTCCTCCTCCTCCTCCTCCTCCTCGTCCTCCTCCTCCTCCTCCTCCTCCTCCTCCTCCTCCTCCTCCTCCTCCTCCTCCTCCTCCTCCTCCTCTGTGTGGCGAGAGGGAGGGCGGCGGCCGCGCTCGTCGCCTCCCCCCCCCCCCGGAGCATCACCGGCCGGGCTGGAGCTCAGAGCCCCCGTGGACACGTGGTCCCAGGTTGCCAAAACCCGGCCAGAGCAGATTCCAGGGGAGCGAAGATCGAAGAATCGGAGTCCAGACCGGAATCCGAAGTCGAGCCGAATTGGGATCGGAAGCCATCGAAATCGAATCGTATCGAACCAGAGGAATCGAAACGAGCCCTTTCCCCTTGGCTCGCCGCCGAATATGGGGGAGCGAAGGAAGACATGAATTCAGAGCCCCGAATCATCAGGGGTAACTCGGGTCAGGGATAACTCGGGTTCCTTTTTCGGGAATCCAAACCCGACTTACCCCGGACCCGAGTTACCCCGGATAACTCGGGCGCCCAATGAACACAAAAATTCGGAGGTCCGCGCGGATTTCTCGGACCGGCGCAGGACCCCCTTGGCGGCGCCTCGGGCGCCGCCTCCTGGCGCGCTCCGCGCGCCAGGGAGGGTGTCCAGCGCCGATCCAAGAAATCCGTGCAGACCTCCGAGTTTTTATGTTCGTTTCCTTCTTCGCTCCCCCATATTTGGCGGCGAGCCAGGGGGAAAGGGCTTGTTCCGATTCCTCCGATTCGATACGATTCGATTTCGATGGCTTCCGATTACAATTCGATTCGACTTCGCATTCCGATCTGGACTCCGATTCTTTTCTGGAGGCATACTAGCCTGCTGATGTCCGCCGATTCGACTTCTCCCGACTCGGCTGCCGATTTCTGCCGATCTGATTCATTTCGGTCGCCGATCCGACTTGACGATTTGATTCTGGGCTCTCCTCGGGGGGAAGTAAGAAGGGGCGGGCCTTCTCTTAGAAAGCTCGGAAGTCCGCCGGCCTTCTGAGGAAGTGTTCTAAGCCTCCCCCGAAGACACAGGGAACCTCCAAGAAGGCCGGAGGGCTTCTGAGAAGCTCGCCGCCTTCTGAGAGGGCCTTCTTTCCCTAGGCTCGCCGCCAATATGGGGTCGCAGCACCGCGCTGCATGGCCGATGCATCGGCGATGCGGCTCACGCATGGCGCGATCGCCCATTCGGCCGAGGAGATCTGGGCTGGTTCAATCCGCATTGGCGTTCGAGTGCATTGGCGCATTCCGCAGTTGTTTTGGCGTTTGGCCAGTCGACGTGCGTTTCGCAGGATACAGCCGCGTGTTTCTCGACGTCGATTCGGCACCCGCTGGGGTCCACCGGGAATGCGGGGCCGTGCGCACGTGGGGAGCCCCTGGCAGCCTTCACCCAGGGGCGCTTTGCTGAAGGGGGCTCTGTCCGCCCCCCGAGCGGCGCGATCCCGAGCCCGATCCTCTCCGGCCCGACGTCGCCGATGTGTCGTCTGATGCATCGGCGATGCGAGGCGATCCTCCGGCCCGGGGGCCGCCCCCCAGTGATCGGGGCCCCCCAGACGGTGTGGTGACCACATCGCGGGGTGAGCCCGCGGGGGTTCGAGGTAAGCGCACGATTTTTGGGAAGCGGGTCGCGTTCTCCGAGGACGTCGTGGGCGACCAGGGCCTCCGAGGTCCCAGAACGGACCGTGCGGTGGACACGGACCTTGCGAGGGGGTCGCTGGGGATTCCGAGATCAGCTGGGTCCGTCCCCAGATGGCGTTGGGGGCCCCGGGCAGTGAGAGACTGGCCGCCCCCGTCGCCCCCCCCCCCCCCCCCCCTCCTGGGGGAAGGAGGACCCATACTCTCTCGAGTGCCGAAACAAAAATCACGACGGGAGGTTTTCCTCGCAACTTTCGGGGGGGCCCTTCCCGGGCTTTGGGACCGTCAAAAAACGACTCGGAATGAAAAGCCTTCCCAGGGAACAGGTCGAAACCTCTGGGGGTCTCTTGACGTCGGGGATCTGGGAGGAAGCGACACCAACACCACCAGGCGGCCACCTCCAGCGAAGAGGTCCACGATGCCTCCCCGAGCTGGGGATCAAGAGTGTCTCCACCAGAGGAACCCCTCCCTGGCTTCTCCTGCTGGTGATCCCTGGTGGTGTTGGTGACGGTTTCCCATGTTCCTACCCCCCCCCGGTCGGGTGGCAATGGGGGTGGCCTACATGGGGGGTGAAGGAAAGGGGCCCCCTTTTGGGCCCATGCCCCCTGCCTGTTTCCAAAAGGGGACCCCAGAGAGCCCCTTCAGGGCACATTTCTTCACCCCCCACTCAGGTCTCCCTCAATTATGGTCGGACTGAGGCGTAAGATCGAGGTCGCTTCTTCGTGTTTGGTCGATGCTCTTATGGATCCTGGGGGAGGGCACCCTCGAATCTTCACCAGTTTGGGCCAGCGGAGGGTCTCATACTCTTGAAGGATGCTCGTCTGTCCTAGGTCTTGGCTTCGCTCGGACGTGTGCATTTTTCTGGGCGAGGACCATCGAGGAGCATTTTGGGTCCTCGTGCAAAAGCATGCACGCACGACATCGAACAATGCACAGGGAATGGGCGTCCGAGCGATGGCGAGAGGTCCGACAGTACCACTCGCCCGACCTCCTCCTCCAAGGGTCGCCTACGATCCGATTCGATGCGATTCGATTCGCCGGCCAGGGCCGCGATTCCGATTCGGCTCGATTCGTGCCAGCTCACTGGCATCGATCCGAAAGGCCAGCCTGAGCCACGCGCGACGATCCCATTTCGATTCGACTCTGCACGATACGCTGGCGACCCCATACGCTTCCGATCCGATCCGGTTTCGCAAGTCGATCTTGCTCTGCTCTGCCTCCTCCTCCTCCTCCGCCTCCTCCTCCTCCCTTTCCTCGCCCGCCCCTCCCCGCCCGTGCAGGGCTGGCCCACGTCCCCGCGGGAGCGCGAGCCGGCCTTCGCCAAGGCCGGCAGGCCAAAACGCCCGCAGGCCCGGCCGCCCGCCGCGCCGGCCCCCTCTCTCTCCTGCGTGGCCCTGCGGGGCTCGGCGCGAACGAAATTCAGAGGCGACGATGGGGGCGAATAGCCCAGGGGAGAGCCATGCATGTATTCAGGTGCGCCGATAATCTATGTCTTCGAACAGGCTCCTGGGCGAATACGTGTAATACCCGCCCCTGGGCTATTCGCCCCGATCGTCGCCGCCGAGGAATGGGTACGGAAAGAATGGGCACATTGCCCCACAGCAGTTCCGGTTCTGTTTCAACAGGACTCGATGTCTGCGCCGCCACGGGCGTGGTCCGTTGGAGACAGAAGGCCACATGCCCAACAGCGGCCGTTGTCGGTTTTGGGCAACAGTCGTTGTTGGGCATCGTGCCCATTTGTTCCGTAACGATTTCGGTCGTCCAGACGGGTGGTCCGCAGAACCAAATTTTCTGTCAGTCGAGCAGTGGCGAAGAGTTTTGGCCTGCCTGTAGTCCCACCAGGACATGTTCTAAGAACTTCTCATGGTTGGCACGAAACGCTCTTAGAACGTTTCGGGCCTAGGTGCTAATAGCATGGCTCTCTGCTACTTGCTATTCGAACACTTGTGGGTTTCTAAGAGTATATATATAGAGATATGTATGTGTATTATTTTGTAGTCCTATGGGGATGCCGGGACGGTCGGTCCCTACTCAGCCCTCTCTTGCGGGGTATTGCCTGGTGGCCCGCAGACCCAAATTTTCTGTCAGCGGCTTTTTGAGTCAAGGAAGCTCAGGGGAGGAAAAGGTACCTCTAACGCTATCCTTCTGCCCGTTTCCCCCTGTGGGGGGCCTCCTGGCAGGCCCTCGTCGCCACCGCTGGATTCGCCTCGAAATCTTGGTCGGAACGCATCCCGGGAGAGGTCCAGTGAATAGCCGTATCGGCATATTCTGGCTTCACCAGTAGAGGGCAAAGTGGAAAACAGAGTCCCAAACATTTAGATCGTAAATCGCGCAATCTCCCGCTCGTCTTGGGTTGAATGTACAGCGCCCAAGAGCGTCAAGCAGATCGGAATGGCGCCCAAATGGCAACCACATAGCAAACAATAGCGCCTGCTGTGCGCCATGTAATGAAGATGTATTGTGCCAGTTGTTTTGAACGCAGTTGGACGGGTCGACCTACAGTCTCCATGAGTTGGTCTCTAAGAACACATCTAATGGCCTTTGGCCCACCCCGCCCCCGTGTCTGGGTCGTGAACAACAAAATGTTTAATACCTTATGAGACAGAGAGAGACGCCCTCGGCGCGCAGGGAGCCCCAGGATTGCGACCTGAGGCGCAGGGGATTGAACAAGCGACCAGGGGACACTGCACCTCGTGCTTCGCAGGCACGGTGTCGGATACTTGCGCACGCAAGTCAGCGAGGGCGGACAGTTTTGGGTGCTGTGCCCAGCATCAAAAGGGTGGCGAGGTGAGACAACTGCAGTTGGTCTTTGGGGGGCCTCCTCGTCGCCACGGCTGGACGCAACCCAGACAACTATTGCATTTGGACCCGGTAAGGGTCTGGGGGTCGACTTTGAGCTTTGCTGCCCAAAGCCAAAGGGCGGTCGCTGCCGGGCGAGCGGCGTGCACCCCTTGTGAACAGCATCCGCCGCGACGCCGACAGCGAACCGTGCGCAAGAAGGAAGGACAGGCGCTGCCCTGGGCTTTCGGGGGCGGCCTGCAGTCCCACGCGTCCTCGAGTCGCAGGGGTGGTCGGTCACGCGTGAGAGTAACACTTCGCCGGAGGGACCTTTGGTGCGGGCACACAGGTCGGGGGTGGACAGAACCCCCAACAGTGACACGTCGATTAGTGAATTGTCCGTTTTCGGTTCTCGAGATGGCGCCGTGGCCGTTATTTTCCAGGCTTGCGCCCGCCAGGTTTGGGCCCCAGGTCGTTTTCACTAAACCACGTTTTGCTAAAGGGGGGTCTGTCCATCCCCGAACAGGGGGGGTGCCAGCATTAGCTGGCGCACTGCTTGGATTGCTCGGATGTGGCCCCTGTGAAGCCGCGCACTGAAGGTCACTCCCGCCCAGGGTCACTCTTGTGTGCAGCCGAGGCCTCCTTTTTGCGCTGGATGGTGACGTTTCGCCGACGCGTCGCAGACAGCATGCCCCACCCCAACCTGCTCCCCACAGGAGGATGGGGAGGGAGGAGGGAGGAGGGAGGAGGGAGAAGGGAGGAGGGAGGGGGGAGGAGGAAGGAGGGAGGACGGAGGACGGAGGAGGGAGGAGGGAGAGGGGCGAGGAGGGATGAGGCGGAGGGAGGAACGGAGGGAGAGGGGGGGAGGAGGGAGGAGGGAGGAGGGAGGAGGGAGGAGGGCGGAGGGAGGGTAGGGAGGTGGTAGTGAGAGGAGGGAGGAGGGAGGGAGGGGGAGCAGCAGGAGCAGGAGGAGGAGGAGGAGGAGGAGGAGAAGGAGGAAGAATATGAGGAGGAGGAGGAGGAGGAGGAGGAGGAGGAGGAGGAGGAGGGAGGAGGATGGAGGAGGATGGAGGAGCATGGAGGAGGATGGAGGAGGGAGGAGGGAGCAGGAGTGAGGGTAGGATGGGATCAGCCTCAGAAGAGGAAAGTGTCCGTGGGCACCCCAGCAGGCATGTTGCCTTAGGCCGTGAATGTGACGGGGACGAGGACTCCGAAGTGGAAGGATTTGAGGGGGAGGACGGCCCAATATAGCATTATCGCCCTCCCCCCGCCGCTCCGGAGCTGCAGCCACCTCCACGGCCTCGAACGGCTCCCTCGCGATCTTTCCAGGTCCCCCCCACGTGCGTCGCCAGCTTGGCCTCGAACGATTTGCTTGACATCTCGGGGGATGTCATGCAACTTGAAGCAAACTCTCGAAGTGCTCAATGGCCTCGAGCTCCTGCGCCGCCGTCCCCGTCGACACAGCTGCGCCGTGACTAGGCTCCGCATGCCCGCCCCCGCCTCCGCACACAGCCGCGAGGGCCCCGCCCGGCATCGCCCCAGCAGCAGCCGAAAGCGCCGCCTTCATGAGGCCGTCGGCCCACCTGTCGTTGGGCAGCTCCCGGTCCGTGCCGCCGTCCAGCGCCGTCGCGTCGCCATGCTCGTCCGCGCAGGTGCCCCTTCGCTCACGCCGATTCGCGCGCTTGCGCTGGCGATGAGGCCGCCGAGCTTGGCGCAGCGCCTCCACCGGCTCCTCCGCCGAAGACCCAGGGTGCCGCCCCGCCAAGCCCGCGCCCGCCGCCACCTCTTTCTCTCGAGCAGGAGATCGACTACAGAATTCACTTGCCCCAAACTTGTTTTTTCGCCGAATGCACAAAAACATGTCTTTTCTGTAGATTCGACAAAATGGTCAAGTTTGGGGTAAATCAATTCTGTAGTCGATCCCCTTCTCGATTCTCGCGCTCCTCGGCCGCCGCGCTGGAGTGCCGCGGGCGCGCGTGCCAGGACGCACCGCCGCCGCCACCGCCCGCGCAGTCCTCCGAAGGTGCCGCCGCGAGGATATCGCGGCGCGGACAGCGGCGCCGAGCAGCGCTTCGCAGGTACGGGCCCAGGCCAGCAATCGCCTGAGTCAAGATGAACTTGGCATCGCTCGGACCATCGAGGAGCACCCTGGCTCACCGAGCCAACAGAGAACACACGTGCGAAAGCGACGCATGCACGGGGAATGGACGTCCGAGCGAGGGCGAGGGGTACGGGACCCAGAGAGCCAGCAATCGCTTGAGCCAAGATGGCTGAAGGAGGGATTATCGAGGATAAAAGAACCCTAAATCCTGATGGCACATCCATATGACGGGGAACGGGGCCCCCAGTCCCAGGGGCGGCAACCTCTTCAAAACTCCCCCCCCCGTGCCCTTTGTAGTCCCGGGGAGGGGAGGAGGGGGGGAGGGGAGGAGGGGGCCGACCCTTTTCGGGGCGCTTCGGGGCTAGGCCTGCTGTCAAATCGGCCCCCGGAGCGATCAGACAGCCGCCCCGGCGGCCCAAGCCGGCCCCGAGCCACCCCGAAGACGACGGCTTCCAGGGGTCTCAGACGGCCTCAGAAGCTTTCTAAATGGACCAAGAGCCCCCAAGACGGCCCAAGAAGGCTCCAACAGGACCACGACGTCTGCCCCAAGCGGCCAAAATTATAGATGTTCCTTCGGTTTTTGAATGATTTGGTCGTTCTTACCGCTTGGGGCTTCCAACGCTCCTAGACGGCTCAAGAGGCGCCCAAGACCGCCGCGAAACGGCCCAAAAGGGGATCAGGAAAGCCCCAGGACGGCGTCAGAGATCACGTTGGGAGCCCCAAGATGATTCGAGAAGGCCGGAAGACGGCCCAAGAGGCCCCCCAAGACGAGACGGCCCAAGAGGGGCTCAAGAGCGGCCCAAGGGGGCCCTAAGAGGGGGAGCACGAACCCATAGTGCCAGCCTTCCGCCCCCCAGACCCTCGCGAGGCCAAGAGAGGCCCAGACGAGGCGCCTCGAGGTTCGCAAGAGGCCCCCCAAAGAGGCCCCCAAGAGGCCGGAAAGAGGCCCCAAGAAGCCCCAAAACGGTCCCCGAGAGGCTTCACGTCCGCCCTCGACGAGGCTTCCGGGAGGCTTCCCTCGAGGTACCAAAGAACACCCAAGAGGTCTTTGACACACGGCCCAGGCACCGTAGCGAGATGGTCCGAAGGCCAATACACACTTGTAGATGTGTGTAGATGTACAAGTACACACACAAATGTGTATATATGTATACATGTGCATATTCACATTGCAAGTATTTGTATACATACATACAAGCATACATACATAGATAGCCAGACATACGTGCACATTCTGTATGTGTTCGACGATGTTCCTTTTAACATACACAGAAGGTCCCGGCCCCAGGGCACCTGGCAATGCGGATCCAGCGTTGGGCATCCCAGTTGTCTTTTGACGTCGTTCAGCCCCAGACGACGCGTTGTAAAAAAATCCCAAGGACCCCTTTACACACGATGTTTGAGAACCGTATCAAATTGCGGCAGGTCCCGTGACCAACCTCAAGGGAATTTCCGAGTCAATTTGGCAGTACTTACCCAGTTGCAATTTGCGATGTCAGATCCTCGAGCGCGGCCAGAACCTAAGCGCGCGCGAAGCGCGCGCCCGTGGTTCTAGTAGTGAAGACGTGGGCTCACTCAGGTTCCCGTCGCTGCACAAGGGATAATACTTATGTTCGGTTTGGCTTGATATTTCCACAGAAAAGACTCACTATCCCTAATGGTTCTTGCCCTCCTAACCTAGGTCCCCTCCCGCAGGGTTAGG